TATCTACAATTTTAATAAAAGCGAATATTGTTAGACCCTTAACCGGAACAAAAAAAAATGTCGGTACGCCACATGCTCAACAAAATTGTACTTTGCGTAGCCCTTCTCCTCCACTTTACCCCGATGAAGACTGCCAGCCACCTTACTAGAACTCAGATTCCGTAGCCCTTCTCCTCCGGTCTACCGCGATGAAGACTGCCCGCCGCCTGAGCCTCCTTTCATCGGCAATGATGGGTGAGCATAGAAGCACAGCCGACCGCGATTAAGGATGGAGAAATCCAGCGGAGAAGCACAGCCGACCGTCAATTACGAGAAGCACCGCCAATTACGAGAAACAAGAAGAATCACACACCAGCGAAGAAACAAAGTAAACAAAGCCGATTTGGTCTCTTTGCGTCTGGTATGCAATTATTTACAATTATGCAGAGATTGAATTACATCTATGGCACTGATTTGAATGGTTTGACAATAATTCAATTCTTGTAAAGTTTCATCTTTGATCTATGCATATGCAATCGCATATTAGTGGTTGAAAAGTTACCATATTTGCTATGAAAGTAGGGGTAGCTTGAGTGGAATGCAAATCTGTGATATTTCAGATGGGTTTTGCTTCGATGTGGAAGTAAAAATTTTGGGTAGCATTTTCTCAAATTTGCTGGGACTTAATTAGTTCATTTGAAAAAAGTGCAGAATTTTGGAATGGTTTGGATGTATGTTATAGTTTTTGCTTTAAATTTTGTTTTAATTTGCTTCAAACTAATTCTTAGTTAAGTATGGCATTGCTAGGTTTTAATTTGTTCTAAGTATAGATTATGAGTTTATTGAGGCAAAATCACATCAAGTATAGATTATGAATTACTCCAATTAATTCAAGCATACCAAGTATGAGTTTCTGTGATCTTGCAGAATTGTCAATGCATTGCTTTTGCTTTAATTTTGTCTATGCATTACTTGAGATTTGCATCATAAAATTAAGTAGATCAGATTCTATGTTCTGCTATGAGTGTATTGTTGATGATGAAGGTCAATTAGAAAAGCTTTTCTGGTGCCATGGCAGGTTGATTTCCTTTTTGTCCTGAGTGAGAGTGAGTAGTAGAAATCTGGAATTGTAATTTTCTATTGCCTATCTTACTTCTCATATTAGAAATTGCTATGAACACAACTTGCAAGCAGATACACAGGGTGGATATTCTTACAGTATGGCTGATGAGAATTCTGTTAGTCAATAATAATGCTAACATTAAACTGAACATTACGAGTAACCTGTCCTCGTATAGCGGAAGCTTTAGGATCGCCCGAATCTCTCCAGCCATGGTTGTGGAAATTGCCTCTGGAATGGTAAACCTATAGAAAGTGTTTTGTCTACCACTTCTCTCCCGAATACGTGATGGTGCGTGTCCTGAACTCGGGAGCTGTGGGAGGACTATTTTGCTTAGAAGCCTACATGCCATCAACATAGGCAGATATTCAGTTAAAGCTTAACTGAATATCTTGAGTTGCATAACAGATTAAGTCACTAATTGACTCAATCTCCTACTTGCACCACAGCCACCCAATAATACAATATATTATAATATATTGTATTTAGGGAAAATACTTACAAATTCAGTATGTGATTCTAATTCAGTAGGTGATCATAATGGAAGGTACCTACCTCTGTTCTGCTAATGTTCAGCTTACTTGCCTCTAGACTATGGAAAGTAAACATGCTTGATTTGAACTCTCATGTTGTGTCTTTTGTAAGTACATATTCTTACTATGCATCTTCAACTTTTTTTAACATCTAATTTTGATAGTTAGATGATGCAATGCTTTAATGCTTTCAGCCTTTGCCCATTTAGTTAGTTGCTGGTTAGTACTAATCTCAATTTACCACATAATAATTAATCAAGACTGTAATGAGTCGGAGACTAAAATTAAGGTATAACCAAATTACCAATAATGTAAAGGCAATATAACTATGTACATTGCTTACCATTAAGAAAACAGAATATTATTGTTAAGGCCCTGAAAACTATTAATAGATTAAAAATATAATTAACTTAAATAATAGTTATAATTCTTAATGGCCAAAACAATAATTATAAGTCTTAATGACTTCAAATGGTAATTGTAATCCTTAGATACTTAATGACTCAAAATCAGACAAAAAACAATAATTATAGCACTAAACTGCTTAAGTCAGGCACATAAACCTTAATAGCCCAAGTTAATTATAACATGAATAATAAATGTTCTAATATGGAAATAGATCCAAACATTATATTATCACCAACGATAAATACCGTTATCAAAAATACGGTAGTTAGTAATAATTGAACCTTAATAAACATGTTATAATCAAATAAAAGTGCTACAATTATTATTAAAATATCAATCAAAGAGGTGGAATTCATACTTTAATGACCCAGATAGGTCCTAAATGGCTTGTTCAAAATAGGTTTTAAAGTCCCAAGTAAAAAATAGGACTAAAGTATGCTCAAAATTAAATGAGAAACCAACAAACTAACTTAACAGGCTATATTGTCCAAAATTAGCCTAAGGATCCAAAATTGAATGATATTTAATATGAAGGCTATGAATTAATAATATGCTATATCCAATCTTAATATATGTTTTTCTATATGTACAATTATAATGAAATAATTTATAAATATACAAAGCATGTTTGGATTTTGCATATTAATATATTATTAACTCATAAATCCTAAATAAATTGTAATAATTTAGGCAATTTAATATGCACATCAATATTAAATTAAAATTCAAGTAGCAAATTTAATACTTAATATTTGCTCAAAATTGAATAATAATTTAATAATGTCAAAATTGAGAGAAAACTAAAAGACATTAATACAACTCTCAATATTAAATTAAAATTCAAATAGCAAATCAAAACTTAATATTTGCTCACACATTGAATAATAATTTAATTGTGACAAGAATTACTGTAATTGTATTAATAACGGCAACAATTCAATCACAAATAATGCCACAATTCATCTGATCTCAATTTGAAAATTTTAATGCCAAAATTAAAGAATAACTAAAGGGCATTATTATTTCAAAATTAAGCAATTATTAATATTTACCATTTACCAAAAATATTTACAATATTAATTAAGGTAATATTAATATGGCAATATTAAACTAAATAATTACCAATTACCAAAATTAATATATATATAAATATAAAATTATTAAGTAAGGCAAATATAAATATATGGTAAATATATAAATATAATTGCATGAAAATAGGAGATGTAGCGTACCATCAGCTGTCTTCTTCTATATTATCCGGAAAACCAGCGAAGAAGAGCGAACAAAAAGGAAGCTACCGACGAACAAACGAGCTTTCTCCATTGATGTCGTACGTCGCTTAGGCGAAGAAGTCGCCACCCCACGGCGCTGCTACTACGCATCGGAAGTGGAAGAGATACCGGCGACCATCCATAAATGCTGCCAACTATCTACCTCCCTCAATGCGGCGCAGTCGTGCATCCATCTTCTCCGCAGCAGAGTTCCGCGGAACCAGCGCCGCCTGATCAGAACCACGGAAGAGGCCGCCTGATCAAAACCACGGAAGAGGCCGCCTGATCTTGAGGAGCAGCGAACGGAGAGGGACAGAGGTGGCCGGAGCTAGTTTGAGAGAGACCGCAGTAATAAGCCGGGAACCCAGCGCACCTCCGCCGTCTGTCAGGAGTCTTCCACTGAATCGCCGGGAAACCAGCGATGATGCCGGTGAAGAATCAGGGAAGAAGCAGCGATCGGACCAACGCCCTCCGCTTTTCTCAGCCAAAAAAAAAAATAGGCGGTGGTAAGCGTCAAGAGTCTGATATATTTAATTTCAGAATTCAAATGAAATTAAAAAAAATATGCTGAATGCTCATAATTAAATTCCAAGCAGAACCAAATTTCGAAAAACAACATATACAAAAAATAATGTATATGATATTAGTTTTCGGAAAAAAAAAAAACAGATTTTGTATCTAACAATACAAACAACCATGCAGAGATTTTTCTGGCTTTGATACCAAATGTTAGTCAATAATAATGCTAACATTAAACTGAACATTACGAGTAACCTGTCCTCGTATAGCGGAAGCTTTAGGATCGCCCGAATCTCTCCAGACATGGTTGTGGAAATTGCCTCTGGAATGGTAAACCTATAGAAAGTGTTTTGTCTACCACTTCTCTCCCGAATACGTGATGGTGCGTGTCCTGAACTCGGGAGCTGTGGGAGGACTATTTTGCTTAGAAGCCTACATGCCATCAACATAGGCAGATATTCAGTTAAGCTAGCTTAACTGAATATCCTGAGTTGCATAACAGATTAAGTCACTAATTGACTCAATCTCCTACTTGCACCACAGCCACCCAATAATACAATATATTATAATATATTGTATTTAGGGAAAATACTTACAAATTCAGTATGTGATTCTAATTCAGTAGGTGATCATAATGGAAGGTACCTACCTCTGTTCTGCTAATGTTCAGCTTACTTGCCTCTAGACTATGGAAAGTAAACATGCTTGATTTGAACTCTCATGTTGTGTCTTTTGTAAGTACATATTCTTACTATGCATCTTCAACTTTTTTTAACATCTAATTTTGATAGTTAGATGATGCAATGCTTTAATGCTTTCAGCCTTTGTCCATTTAGTTAGTTGCTGGTTAATTATGGTATGTATGCTAAATGCTCACTACCCCCACCTTCTAAGGCACCACCTCACACATAAAGGCTCGTGTCTTTATCACTTTGTTCCTACCTTATTACAATATTATCTCTCATGTTGAAATTTGTAAATATAAATTCTTTGAGCTGTTTCCTTGTAAACTTTCTATTTACTGCCACTCTAAAATATTTGTTTTCACTTGTGGGCTATTTGGAAGTTTACGGGAGAGAAGTCAAGTGGAACAACTTGTCAGATATATAGTGGAAGAGGCTGCAGATGAAACTGAGAAAAAACGAAAATTTAAGTGAGTTACTTAAAAAATATCTTTGCCCTGCCTATTAATTTCTTGCATATTTACATTATCTTGAATATGTTGTATTGTTCTAATTTTTTTTTTGGGTTCATGTGGGTGAATATGTTTCCTTTTATTGCTTGTGAAATTTTTACTTGTGAGGTTGATATAATTCTCAAAGCTTTGGTTGATGATGAAGAGGTGACAATACATGTTTTCACTGTGCTTTATTTATTCTTATTTGGAAGAAAATGCTTTTAAATAGACTTTTAATTTTTATTGGCAGCTAATGAACTTGCTATTCTCATTTTTGGAACCTGTGCGTCCTCACAGTGCTCTGCTGGCTGGTTACTTCAGCAACGTATCTCATTAAATTAGATGATGGTATTTTGTTTCACTTCACTTTTCTGAACATGGATTGACTGTTTCCTGATGCCTTTTTTTTTTTTTTTTTTTTTTTTTTTTTTTTTAATTTATTGGGTGGGGTGAGGTGGTGAAGGTGGTAGATGTCTTTCCTTAGGGGGAAGTGGTGCTTGCATCATAACTTGCATGAAAACCCTTACAAGATCAATGAATATTGAGGGCTGGCCTTCCATAAGAGGGAAGCCAGGTATGATATTTTGGTAGGGAAGGCATATTCCATAATCTTAAATTGCAGTAATAAGTTGTACTGTGTGGGTTCTTGATATGTTTGACTTGTGAAAACAGTAGATTTTACGTTATACTCAGTAGTATATACATTTGCTATTATATTTATTTTGATTTGATGCAATACAAATGATCATGATATGTAGTGTTCTTTTGAGTCTTTTATGTATACTACTGTAAGGATAGTTGATTACATTCTAATAACCTTGTATCCCCGTGTCCCCGACTTTTCCCTATTTAACGCAAATGATGCCCATTAGGGGTTCTGTGTGGACTTATTTTTTCTATGGAATTGATTTTGTAGGCTTTAGAATTCACAGCTAAAAATGCAAAGGTATATGTATTATTCACACCTATAATATAATAAATGGTTTTTCCGTTTTGTGTTGCACACTCCTTTATTTATATATAGGGAGCGGTATGCTTGTAATGAGAGTCTACGTGCAGAGAGGAACTTGAGACGCCGAAATACTTACGCAACAATGGATCCTGCTAACGAAAAACGTCGCGGCAAAAGTACATTATGAAATCAGAGTAAATGTTATAATAATGAAAATAATAACTAAGCACATGGTCATACAATTATCTCAAACAGCAAACTGTGATTCCCCACGTGTAATAAAATATAAAATAATATGAATTATATACACACTCACTCGCACACATTATTTTAAAAATACATTTCTTTTGTATATATTATTAGGGGAACAAAGCATCGTGCTACACTATATGCATTAAAACGATGTCGAGACTACAATGACGTTGCAATAAAACTTGCAAATCCAGAAACTGCAAAATTTTTTACAATTGCTAATATCCCTCCATCAATTGATCTGGTATATATATAATAGGTTTTACACAATAATTCAATATTTTATATTTAACATTAATATTCATTTTTTTACTCATGACAACTTGTAGATTAAACCTGCTTGGATAAAAGGGAAAATCAGCTTTAAGCATCGGATAAAAAACACATTGTACATTGGATGTAGTCATTGTATGAAAAAGGTTTACGCGGAAAGTGAAACAATTTAATTGCATGCATTGTGGTGAATTGAATGCAGTGGGAACACCACGGTAAGTAACAATTTTTATACACAGTTTTTTTTTTTTTCTTTTTTGTTAGAAGGAGGTCAGTATCAATTTAATCATTACACAAACATAATACAACAATGCTAATCTAAACATTCATAATAGGTGTAAACTGGATGTGGAAATTACTGATGGAAGTGGATGCCTTGTTGCATCTGTGTTTAGGAAATGTGTTGAACAACTATTACTCTTTACGAGCAAACAAGTTATGCAATTGGAACAACATGTATTCATCCTTTACCACCCACAATCACTCATGTTTTATAGTAAATTAACCTATGACTAACTACATAAACATCTTGCAGGGTCAACAGCTACGATTTTAACATATCAATAACCGCTTACAAGATGAAGAATATATAATACAATTGAGGTCTCAATCCTACACACAACAAGGCAAAAACATGATATCATATACCATAACATCATTGCACGATTCATTGTCATTCACTACCACGAGTAAACAACATGCAATAAACACACAACCAGCAAAAAGGAAACTCAACTTCACTAAAGATGGAAACGAAGAAGACAATTCCGAGCCTCAACAAACATGCACTAAGAAAAATAAATTTTACTCTGCTCAAATTACTACTCTTTTCATTATAGATAGTCAGCTTTAGTTAGTGGTTTATTTGTTTTTACTTACTTTAATTCTATTTTAGCTATTTCAAATTTCTTTATTTTTTATTAAAATATATAAGCACTAAGATTATTTCTTTATCTTTTATTCATTTCGCATTTTTCTTTCTCTCATTATTATATGAATACTTTAACCAATTAAGGAACACTAATTTATAAATACACATTGGGCATTGGTCTAATCGCGCAAAGCGTGTGTCAAAACTAGTAGTAAAATAAGGCTCAATTTTTATGCAAAATCTGTCCTAAAAGATTAATAGTATCTTAATGATTCTTTTTCTTATACTGCTTATTGATTCTTTTCCATTGTTCAGAGTGTAGAAAAAATTCACATGGCTAACATTTTCTTCCATTCATTTATATTTTTCCATATTATTATTAATTTCCTTCCCAATATTATTCTATATTGTTTTGGCGTACGGCTTCCTTCCATTCATTTCTATTTTTTCATATTATTATTATTTTTTTAGGCGGAAACTTGTAAATGAGGATATTGTTTTTATTAATTAATATAGAATATAGATTACCAATTAAAATTAAAGTTTTTATTATAATTGAACAATAATATTACCAATTATTATTTGAAGATTTTGTAAAACAGTAAGTAAAATTGTATTACGGATAGGAAAATATATGTACTTTAATTTAAATTTAAATTATTAATAATTAATTCTATTTTATTTTTTAAAAAAATCTTCCTTAAAGATTAATAGTAAAATAAAGCTAAATTATTAATAACCGATTCTATTACATTTTTTACACAGAATTTTTCTTAAAGATTAATGTAGTAAAATTAAGTTAAATTATTAATAACCGATTTTATTACATTTTTTTACGCAGAATTTTTCATAAAGATTAATAGTAAAATAAGACTAAATTAGTAATAACCAATTCGTTTTCTATTTTTTACACAAAATCTTCCGTAAAAGATTAATAGTAAAATATCTTAATAAATATTTTCCTTATACTATTCTTTTTCATTTTTCAGAGTGTAGAAAACATTCACATGAATAATATTTCATTCCATTATTTTCTATATTTACATATTATTATTAATTTTCTTTCAATATTATTATTAATTGTTTGGGGGTACAACTTCCTTCCATTCTTTTTCATTTTTTTCATATTATTATTAATTGTTTAGGTGGGAGCTTGTAAAGGATGTTTTTTTTTATTAATTAATATAGAATATAAATATAGATTAATATAGAATATACATTACCAATTAAAATAAGTTTTTTTTTTTAAAAAAAAAATATTATATTGAACAATAATATTACCAATTGTTATTATTATTATTATTATTATTATTATTATTATTATTATTATTATTATTATTATTATTGGTTCACATAGTTGAATTATTTATTTTTTATTTAATTATTATAAACATAAATGATATTTTACTAATTAATTTATGATATTTATCAAATTGTATTTTTTAAATATAGTGTTTTATCCATGCATTGCACGGAATTTTATTTTTGTTATTATGAATTTAAAATAAAAATAGAAAAAATAAAAAGATGTTAAAATGTACAATATAATAATATAGTTGGACTTTTATATATTTAGTCAAGTATCTATTTCATAACATACAAAATTAAAATTTAAATTTTGTATGATTAATATATTCTCTAATCATGTACATATTTAGATAAATTTATAGAAAAAATTCATATAATTAAGTTGATTTATTCCAAATTGTATTTCATATGTATATATGAAATTTAAAAATATGAATAATAAAAACTAAGAGAATTGTACTTAGAAATCAATAAAAAAAATGTAAATTCTAAATTTTGTATGAATAAATAAATATTCTAATCGGACGCATATCCTTATATGATTGTATAATACTTTGTATATACACATAATATTTATTAATATGTATATAGGAAAGTCCTATAATATAATTTCATTAATTATAATTTATATTGATAGATTTATACTTAAAAAATTAAATTTAGAAATTTAAAGAGTATATGTATGTATATTTAAAAAAAAAAATTATAAATATTCATGTTTTGTTAATTTTATAATTTCATTTCTTTAATTATATTTCATATTTTATTAATTATAATTTAATGAAAGTGTCACAAATATGTCTCCAGAAGAAATCATATATTTCTCAATTTCATTAATTTTATTAATTATTATTACCAAATATTGTGGCAATTACCACAATAATTTCATTAATTATAATATTTGTTTTCTTCCAAGGGAAAATGGCACTTTTTCCCCCTATGTTATATGCTTATAGCACTTTTTCCCCCTGAGTTATTCATGCATCCACATTTGTCCCCTCAATTATTATAAAAGTGGCGGTTTTTCCCCCTGATAATATTAAATAGACATTTTTACCCTTAAATACATATTTTATTTATTTCTCTTGTTCAACAAATTATTGTTTATACGTAGGGATGGCCACGGTTCGGTTCGAACTGAACCGAACACTATAGCAATCAAATAAAAAAAAATTCGGTTATGATTCATAACATAACCCAATATTTGGGTTTCCGTTTATTAAAATTGTGAAGTGGAAAAAAATAGATTCTGAACCGTGAACCAGAGGTTCAAATCGGAACAACTACTAGCAATAGCTTAAAATTAGAATTATAATATTTGCAAATAGTGTATGCTTTTTTCGCATTTATATTGACTCTCACATATAAGTATATATAATCGCGATTTGGTTTTTATTTTGAATCGTTGTTTCACAATTTCGGATCCAATTTGAACTGTTGGTTCAAACATTATTTTAAAATTTTATTTTTTTATTTTTAAAGTATTCTAAATTCAACAATTAATGTATTTTATTTTTTCAAATTGTGGTTATAATTTGTTGGAGAAGTAAAATAAAGGAAATATTTATTTTAAGGGTAAATATGTCCATTTAATATATCAGGGGGGAAAATTGCCACTTAAATAATATAGGGGGAAAAAGTGCTATAAGTATATAACACAGGGGGAAAAAGTGTCATTTTCCCTTCTTCCAATATTTAAATACATTACCATAAAATTACCATAATAATAACACAAAAGAAGGAAAGAAAAATTATGAGAATAATCTATATCTATATATAATTAAAAGTAAAGTCCTCCTAACTAAGTTTATCCCCAAAACTTAGGGGCATATATATATAAATTGCATATTTACCATATATGCATATTTTGTGTCTATATAGTATAATTTTTGGTATCAAACATTTGAATGGTAATAAACGGGGGAAAATGTCAACATACAAATGATAATTCTTTCATTACTATACTAATTTTAATGGTAATTCATTAATTACTATATTTCACGATGAGTCAGCCTGTTCATGCCCATCATTTTTCAAGAAACATAGAAATGAAATAGTCAATTATTAAAATTGTTTATGATTTCATTTTTAATTTTTGTCTAAAGTTAAAGATATATATTATCAACGATTATAACATTTTTTGTATTAATTGAAAATTTAAAAGTTTTACCTTTTTTGAGATCTCTTACCATTTTATAATTTCAATATTATGCGATTTTGAACTCATCCATGGTGTACAAATACACTCTATATGACCATACAAAATCCATTGAGGAGACATTTGTACTGAAGAGTAAACTTCTCCTTAAACTAAATTCGGGTGTCAAGAAAATCTCCGTTTTCATTCATAATGATATTCCTATTTCTGAGTCTCTCATCACTGTTCGGTACATCAATGATGTCTAGATTTCTGGGTCTTCCATTGTTCCCTTTGATCCTTATGATTGTGCCATTGCCAGAATTTTTTTATTTGGGTTCAGTACAACGTGGATTTTTTTGGGAGGTTTCTCTAATTAAATTTTTGGTTAAAAATTTATATTTCCTTTGTATTTTATTTTATTACTTTTTTATTTATTTATACTAGGAGTAACACAAAATCTGAAATTGTATTTGTTATTTATTTCTTCTTTTTAAATAATCATTATTTTTGTGTTTTACAAAAATTTAGAAAAAATCAAATATAGCGAGATTTTTAATAGGTTAAACAAACACTCTACTCAAATGATATATATAAAAATGCTGTGAAATGCTGTAAAATGAACTCTGCTTGGTAAAAAAAAAAAACATAGAAACTTGAATGGCATGTACAAATCTCGAAGTCAACATACTAACTCTAAGTTTCAGAAAATCTTACAAAATTATCAAAATTACCGTCTTTATCATCCTCGATCGCATCTCTACAATCTTCCATAAAAACTAAACCAATAGGGTTCTGTTACAAATGCTCTTCCTCCTCAATTTCCTTTTGTTGAAGCAGAGCCTCCTTAAGTATCTTCAAACTCATACCAGATAATATAAACTGCAAAACATATTGAAGTATTATTATATTATATTATATTATATTATATTATATTATTATTATTATTATTATTATTATTATTATTATTATTATTATTATTATTATTATTATTATTATTATTTATTTGATTGTTGATAAATTCGCAAAAATTTTAACCAATTTGTCATTTTAACATTTTAACTTTAATCAAAACCCCCCCAAAAATTATATAGTAACTCAGTAATTTGTTCCAAATGGCTAAAAACTAATAC